AGAGCTGAAGGACTCTAGCTTGTTTGTAAAGGTGCTGGATGCTGTACCTGCAGGACACTTGCGTTTGCAGCTATTACTGTGAACATGTTAGCATTGTCCATGTTTAACTGTGACCCAGTCTGCTAGCCCATGCATGCCCACGTGGAGAACAGGAGCCTGCTTGGTATGTGTGTGTGTGTGGAGGAGAGAGGTATCATGCCCAGCAGGAGTTCTGAGCTTGCTCTGACCAAACCTGCATGGTTTTCCTTCTTACCTCATGTTCCTGGGCTTGTTGAGCCTCTACCAGCAGTGGGATAGAGCAGGTCATCGTTGTGTGATGTGCTGGCTTGCAGGAACCCTGGTGCTGCCAGAGCGCTGTGATGTGGCCAGTGTCCTTTCAGGCAGCCCAGGAAGCCATGGGCTTGTGATTGGGCTGGCAGAGGGTTTGCTGGGAGCCCTGCCACCCTTCCACATGGCTGCTCCTCAGAGCCAAGGTGTGAGTGTCTTGACTGCTGGTAGAAGAGCAGCATCTCTCTGCCTGTGGTTCCCTGTTGTTCTCAGTGTGCAGAGCTGTTGGGTGGGTCTGTGCCTGGCTGTTGAACCAAAGGACAAACTGAAGGACTGGATTGAACTGAAGGAGCAGCTGGCACTGTGGGGCTGGTCGGTACTCACCCAGGGGATGTGTTGGTGCCACGGTGTGGTTTCATCTCCTACGTAGCCGCAGCCTCAGGACACCAGGCTGCAATCCCTCCCTGGACCCTAGGCAGCCCCGCTGCATGTTTCAAGGGATTATCATCTATTACTGCCTCATTCCGATTCCTCTCCCCGAAACCAGCGCTGAGATGACAGGGTGACCGCCTCTGACACTGAATACTGGCTGAGCACATGGCCCGTCCAGCAGGTCCCGTTTGTAGGCCCTGGGTCATTCCATCAGGTCCCACTGGTGCTTTTTAGGTCTCTTATGGGAGATCAACCCTCCTTGCTGGTGAGCTGCCTGGTCCGCAGGGGTTGAGGGTCCCTGCCAGTGGCCCCCCAGCTCGGGGCAGGGGAGCGGCTGTTCTTTAATCCCATCTCTACTCCGGCATCCCGGCATCCCGCTGCCAACAGAGCTCCCCTTGTTTACCCAACTCGGAGGAATCGGTTTACAAGGCTCACAAATACCCTTTTCACCTTTCCCATCAGAAAACACCTCCTGAAACAATGAGGAAATAGGATGCTGCCACCTGATCGCTCCCAGGGAACCTGCGGAGCCAGGAGCTGGGGGCCGGGATGCGGCAGTCGGGATGCCTGACTGGGATGGGATGCTCTTCAGCAGCCTGCACAGCTCTGCGGGTGGGCAGCCACAGGTGCCACCAAAAAATCACCCTGAGGGGTTTTAATTAATGAAGTTGCCCATAATGGAGTGGAAGCCAGCATCCCCCCACAGCACTGTTTGCTCAAATGAATGCTGTTTGCAGCAAGAGCAAAAATACCGTGGTTTTTTAACTTGAATAGGTTGTAGTTAGTCTTTTCCACCACCTTTGCTACCAGGAGAAAAGATGCTGAGATGTTATCTGTGAGCTGCTAATGGTGGTAGCACCAAGGCTAAATAAATAAAGCTGGAGCCACCATCCTCCTCCCAAGTGGAGGGACAGGTAGAAGTGGGTGCTCTGTGCAGTTGGGATGTCGAGTGCCTGCTGGTGGCCTTCCACAGCCAGGCTGCAGCACACACTGTGCAGGATCAGCCTCAAAAGCACTTGGTCAGAGTAGTTTTAGCATTAAGGTTGAGTTGAATTATGATTTTTCTTTGTTTCCTTACCAGCTTTAAAACAGGGAAGTCAAACTGTAGTGTACGGAGGATAAAGCAGAGTCCCCCCGCAGGATGACAGCACATGCTCTGAGGGCATGATGAGTTTCACTCTTAATTTAAAAGGAGATCTATTCATTCTTCCCGGTTAAGATAAAATTGAAGATGTGTCCTTGTAAAGACAAGTCAAGAGTGATTCTTTTTTGCCTTCAACAATCCTTCTGGAGTAATATTTCTCATACCCAGAACTTGTCTGCTGTTCTTGTGATAAATGTTGCTTTGCGCCTTTTGTATTTTAAAGTATAATTTTGTGGAGGCCTGTCGCGTGATGGGAGCTGGTGTCTGCCTTCCCTAGGATGGTCATCACAAGCTGTTGCTTGCAACGAAGCACAGTCTCGGGGGGGGGGAAAGAAATCTGGATGTATGGTTGTGGTGAGGAGCTCAAAGAGCAGTGAGAGGGGTTTGAATGCATGCTCTTCAGGGGCTTATTTCCACACTTGTGCTGCCCGGACTCTCTTCATCTTCAGGGAAGAGAGGGAGGACACTGAGGGGGAAACGGAGGAGAAGAAATCAGGGAAATAAGAGGGCAAAGGGTACAGAGTGTGTGTGCGGGCAGGAATGTGGTTGGCAGGAGCAGCAGTTGGAGGGAGCACCCCCGTAAGCCCCGTGCAGCACTGCATGCGGTGACGGGCTGCTGCTTTGGCTGGTAGCTCAGTTTTGCTCAATGTTCGTGTAGGAGATCTGGAAAATGTTCCTGGGCTAATTCCCAGGCAGAAGCTGTGTGCTTCTGAAGCTGAAACCAAGCGTTCCTAGAAGAAATTAATCTTGTCATGTTACCCTTGAAACAAATAAAACAAACAGAGGCCTCCTCTGTGATTTCTCTAAGAGGAAAAGAAGTGCCAGCAGGATGTGGTGCTGGGATGTTCTCAGCTCCCTTGATTGCTTTATGGCCTCTCCTCTCATTAAAAATCATCTTGACCTGATCCCAGACGGCCGTGCCGGCAGCACAGGCTGGTGTCACATGGACCGGTTGGTTTGCTGGTGTTGGCCAAGGCTTTGGCCAAGGAGATGTGATAGGTCCTTCTGGTATGAAGATGGGGGACAGATAGGAGCCTTCTCCTCCTGCTCCGGCGTTGCAAGACATCTGCTTGGCTTGTTTGTGGCTTCCTGTTTGGCATCTTCTGGGCAGGAGGGAGCTGGCAGGGGCTGGAGGAGGGAATTTGAGTCACTTGGGAGTTCTGTGCCAGGAAGCCTCTGACTCAGCCCAACCGTGGAGAAACGAGTGTGGGATCCAGCTGCCTCTCGGGGTGGGAACCCGTGAGCGAGCGTGCAAGTGTTCACTTGCGCTGCATGTCTGCGGCCCGGCGCGGGGTGGGGAGGCTGAGCAAGGGAAGGGAGGGGCAGGGGCTCCTTTGCATCTCCTGCTGCACGGCTCCTGGGATTGCGTCAGGAGCTGTGGGTGGGGGAAGCCTTTATCGCTCCCGCCCAAGGTTTGGAAGCGGTGCGCTGGCTGGGGGCCAGCTGACCTACTTGGTAGCGCTCAGGCAAAGCATGGCTCACCTGCCGGCAGTGCCGGGGATGGAGCCGTGGGGCAGCATCCCACCTGGATTACGTTTCCTGTTCTTCCATGAGGTTGCTGCATCCCTTCTTCCAGCAGTCAGGACTTTCACACAACTTACTTGCTCCCCACAAGCTTGCATGGCAAAGGCACAGCCACTGCCATGGTGGTGCTGGGGTTGGGATGATCCCGCAGTGATGCTTTGGGTACCGCAGGGAGGATGGGGCAGACAGCCCTCTGGAATTCAGCTCCCACGTTCAGAGCGGTGTCGGTGAAGGGGACTGTTCCCCGGTCCCTGTGCCTTGCCTCCTCTCCTGGGGCTGGGTGAGGGTGACCTGGTGAGCTGGCAGAAAGGTGCAGTTGGTGTCTGTCTGTCCTGGCCATCCCTTGCCCTGCTAGAGCTGGCACCAAGCTCCGGAGCGCTTGCCAAGGGCATCGGGTTGTGCGTGGGCCCCAGCTCCGCCTGCTGCCTCCCAGCCCCGTCGGTCGGCGTGTGGAACTGCTGCGGCTCCTGCAGCCAGAGGCCTGGAGCCTGGGCTGCTCAGGCAATGGTTTCAGCTCTGTGGCTTCTTGCTAAGACTTGTACCAGAGCCACAGAGCAGGTTGGTCTTGTGTGTCTGATCTTCCTTCCGTGGTGCCTGCAGCCCCAGCCGGAGCAGCTTGATGGAGGAAGAAGGTGTCATGTCCCCCCATCTGACTGAAGGGGTGGGATGGGGCAGGGACCCAGCTGTGTCAGAGTGGGAAGGGAAAGGTGCCGATGTGCAGCCTGCTGAGGCACACGCTTCAGTTTCTGCTGTGCCCAAATTACGTGAGGGAGTTGCAGCGGAGATAACTTTGCAGGAGCATCCATTCCCACCTTATCTTCCATCAGGAATGCGTTATGTTGCCTACATCAAAGTAGATGATCTACTGCTTCCCTCCTTGTTGCCCTAATACTCTACTTCACACTGAAAAAAAATTATTCAGATTATTGCCCCACAATAATGAAATCTGAATGCTAATTATCAGTATATTGCCTTCCTTCCCTTCGCAATGCCCTGCCTTCCAGCCCCAAATAGCTTTCCTCCCTCCTTGCTCCTCTCCATCCGGTCCTCCCACGCTCCTGGGCACGCCGTTGAGCCTGGCTTGGTAGAAGTTGTCCTGCAGGATGCTTCCCTCCCTTCCATTTAAGGACAGGAATTCCTCAGGGAGCCGGGGCGTGGAAGGGATCCCTCCCTGCGCCCCATTGTCAGGGCTTCTCCCCATGCCTAATTATTGCCTGTCCCTGCAGGAAGCTCCTTGCCTGGCCGTCGGGCAGAGCCGTGGCGTCTCCAGGCTGCCCGCTCTGCAGCCCTTTGTGGGAAGACTCCATTCCCTTCTGGGTGCCAGGCTTGTGTCTGGGAAGGGTGCTCACCCCCTCATCATGGCAGGAGGGATGTGGAGTGGGGCTGAACCAATCGAGTCCATGGTTTTCTCGATGGGAGCCTTGCACTGGCTCTTTGCATGTGCAGAGGTGGTGAAGGAAGAAGAGAGCTTTAGTTTGGTGTCAAAAGACATTTTGCAGAGGGAAAACAGTAGAGTTTAAGCACGAAATGAATGGTGCGAAAGCAGGGCTGTGCACAGGGTGGAACGGGCTGGTGTGACCACTGTGGCCTGTGCTAGAGCATGTGGCTAACCTCTTGTCCTCCTCTCTTCCAGGTTCATGACTGGGAAGGGGCTGGTCATCTACCCGGAGATTGGGGATAAACTGGACATTATCTGCCCCAAGGCGGAGCCATCCAAGCCTTACGAGTACTACAAGTTGTACCTGGTGAAGAAGGACCAGGCAGATGCCTGCAGCACCGTCATGGACCCCAACGTGCTGGTGACATGCAACCGGCCGGAGCAGGAGATCCGCTTCACCATCAAGTTTCAGGAGTTCAGCCCCAACTACATGGGCCTGGAATTCAAGCGGCAGCAGGATTACTTCATCACATGTGAGTCGCTCTCCTCTTCCTCGCTGCCGACCCTGGCTCGGGGGGGCTGCAGGGGTCTGGAGAGTGTCGCCAGGCGCTTGCTCGCGACTTGGCTGGTGCAAAGAGCTGACACGCATGGAAAGTATTTCCAGCTGGATGGGAGAAGGGGTTGGAATGTGTCACTGGCCAAACGGAACGGGTCATCGGCCCCTATGTGGCTGCTCTGCTGTGTCCCTGGCCTTGCCCGCAGCCAGGAGCATGTCCCCCTGCCAGGTCAGTCCTGGCAAGGAGGGGCAGCGTGTGTCTGGAGCACCATCAAACCTGGAGCCTGTTGTCGTCTTTGCTGGAGGTGTTGCAGGGCATATCTTATAGGGCTTTGCCTTGGGGCTGGGGAGCTCCTGGTGCTGCACTTGGGATCGGGAGAAATGGTGAGCTAGGAGATGCCCACCCTCCTCACTGGTGCTGGCGCTGAGAGCAGCCCGGCAAGTGGGAAGCTCCCAGTGACACCCAATGCTTTCTGTGGTCTAAATGGCTGTAGAATTCTGCATCCTGGTGTCATCCTCTTGTTTCTTGGTGCAACACATCTTCATTGAGGGGTGAGAGAAGAAGGGCTGAATTTTCTTGGAGACAGTGGTCCGTGTGCTGGCTCTGGTGTGAGCAGAGTGTGGACTCTGGGCAGCTTGGCCATCCCCTGGCCCCCAGTCTGGCAGCGCTGGCCTCACTTTTGCCTGTTTGTCTTCTCCTCAAGCTCACTGTTACCCCTGTGAACCTGCTGTACAGCAGCCTGCAAAGGGCACGGTGGCTCATCTCTGCCCTCGCTATCACATGCCGCAGGCTCACCGGTGAGCAGCCCAGTGCAGAGGTCACAGCCCGCATGGGAAGCGAGCACTGAGCCGTGGGAGCTGGTGCTTCTCAGTCAGTAAACAGTGTATTTTTAGCCTGAGATCCCTGCTCTCGGAGGGGGTGGTGAGGGTGTTAGCAGGCAGCTTGGGCAGGAGGTGCTCTGCCGTAGTGTGGTGACACAGTGGTGCTGCCAGCCTGGATTTTCTCAGCAAGCCCTCCCTGGGGCTGCCTGTAGTTTTGGGTATGCCTGCTGCACTGAAAGTGTCAGGGCAGCGCTGAGCCCACCCTTGGTGCTGAATTTTGCTTAGTGCTACCTAACACATGGCTGAGCACAGGGTGGTGATGAAGGGGCTCTGGGCACCCATGGCTGTAGGAGGGGTGAGGACCTGGCACAAGAACTGGCTCAGCCTGCTCTGCATGGCCATGGTGCCGGCAGAGACCGCGGGCTGCACCGGGTTGAGTCACCCCTTGGCAGGGCTGGTCTCTCCCAAGAGCTGCCATTGCTTGGTCACCTTCACTGTCCGGATTTGGGCCATCTGCCCTGTGTCATTCAGGGGGCACAGGTGGGGTCACCAGCTTTGGGGGTGCAGGGAACACTGGCTGAAAGCCCAGGCGCCCTGGGGATGGGCTTGGGATGCCAAAAGCCCCAGCACAGCTCCCCAGCAGACTCTCATCTCCTGTAACATGAGTAACCATGGCTGGCACCGGCCTGACGGCTCTGGAACCCCAAAAGGTCAGCCCTTCTGCTGTCCCTCAGCTGAGGCAAGGCTTGATTCAATGGCAAGCTTTCCCTGCAGTGGGCAGAGAGTGGGGAGCACAGCCATGAATCTGCCTTTTGTGTGTCAGGCAAGCATCTTTGAGCACTTGGTCAGGAGCTTCTCCATGCTCGGGGGTCAAGTTCAGGCAGTGCCATGGTCATTGTGCTAATGAGGGCTGAAAGCGGGGTCCCACGTCATGCCCCTTTGGTAGATCCCATGAGACCTACAGGCTGCAAAGAGCCCCCATAGTCAAATACATTCCCCAGAACAAGCTCAGGAGCCTAACGAAGCGCCGGGGAGGAGGAACGTGGGGTCCCTCGCCTTGCAATGCAAGTCTGTCAGGAAAGTGCAGGCAAAGGGATTTACCGGGTTCTGAATTGCACAAGTTTTAAGGAGCTGCTTTGCATTTCACACGAAAGCTCTTGCTTAAGTTAAATCAACCTCCCGTAGCTTTCGGTGGCATTTTCACAAGCGGCCGACGGCGTGCTGCCGAGTACAAACGCAGCTCCCCAAGGGCCCCCATGGCTTTGAGCCATTGCCAGCTCCCCTCCAACGCTGCCAGCACACCTGGGTCACTATTGCTCCGGCTTGCTGCAGCTCCGACGGGATACTCGGTCGGGATTTTGCAAGCTGCACCGTGCCAGCTTTGCCAGCAGAGGTTTCGCCAAAGCTTTTAAAGACTCATTGCGTTTTTGCCCAATCTTCTTTTACATGATTCTGCTACCAGTGATGGGAATCTTCTCCCATATCTAGAAGTCTTCCCTCTATTTGCAATAGAATCCTGCTTTCTTCCCAAGGCAGGGAGAACTCCCAAGAGACTCCCATAAAATCCTATTTATCCTCTTGTTTTCCAGTCCCAGCCTCCAGTTGCAACATCTCGGAGCCTGTATAGGGCCGGAACAGGGATACAGGGAGCGGGGTGCACAGAGCATCCCTGTGGGGTGCCCCTCTCTCCTCGGGGAGCCAGCAGTGCCCTCTGCCCCCTCCTTGGACCGTTTCTGACTTTAATTTCTCTTGACTCCTCTGCACTTTGATGCGAGCCCCCTTGGCGCTGGGAGCGAGCTGCTGCTGCCAGCTGAACTTTGGCCCCTGGGTGGGCTGAGGATGCTCCTGTGATCTGGCCGTACCCCTCTGCCGAGCAGCCCCAGGAGCTCTTTCTGCCGAGAAAGAAAATAGCCAAAAAAACAAAGTCAAAAGTCTCCTGAGCAGACCACCCACGTGTTGTCTTTTTTTTTCCTTTTTCCACCCTTTTTTTTTTTTCCCCCATTCCCCCCCTTCCCCTCCCTTTCCCCAAGCTTTGCCTTGACACACAAAAGGGTTTTTTCTTCCTTTTCATTTGCCGGCAGCCCTAAGCTGGGGAAGCGATGCTGCAGTGGACGGGAGCAGGGCAGCAGCGGGACATGTGCTGCTTGGCCTCTGCTTTCCCCAAGCAGGGAAAACCTCCCTGCTGGAGCCAGGGGCTTCCCGGGGTCCCTCCCCATTCAGAGCTGCTCCTCGCTCCCGCCTTGGATATGCCAAGCCTTGTTTAAGGCCACTTTTATCACAGAGGGACATGGCCCCAGCCTTTGGCTTAGCAATGAAAAAGGCTTTTGAAAGCAAACGTAACCTCTCCCCATCCTCTCCGCAGCCTCGTGCTGAGCCCCTCTGCCACTTAAAAGCATCTTTTTCCTCGGGGCTGGGCAGGAGAAGGTGATGCTTCTTCCTAAGCTGCTTCATAAAGAACAAGATGTGGCAGCTCCTGCTGCAGGTCTATGCTCGAGATGGAGGCTTGCTTGGTGGAGGATGTGAGGCTGCAGCAGGACATGGAGCATCATGGAGAAGCTGGGAATTTTGGAATTGGGTGTTTTGCTCCATGGGTTCAGGGCAGCTCTTGGTTTCTGCTGTCCTTGGTCTCCTGTGGCTGCCTCCCTGCCTGCCTTTGATGCCTGGTGGGGGTCTCTTGTCTCCTCCCTGCAGAACCATTGTACCCCATGGACAGAAGCTTGTAGTGGTGGCTGTACTGTGGGAGGTGGTAAAATGCAATCCATCAGGAATTAGTTCTTGCTTTTTGCCCCAAAAGGAAGACCTTTTTGGGGTTCCTTGGCCAAGCGCATGGGTAAGGCTACTTGGAAAGGTTGACGCGGACTCCAGGGTAGCTTGTACTTGCAGACCTCAGTGCCGACGTGATTGGTGCTGCTATTCCCTTGGGCTGGCAGCAGAGTGTGGGTCATTCATACGGTCCTCATGGAAGCAGAAGGTGCTTCTGGCTCACTAGCAGATGTGTGGCTATTCCTCCCTTCATCCTTGCAGAGCTGGTAGAGGAAAGGCTGAAATGGAAGGGAAGAATGTGTCCGAGTGCTTACAAATAGTGCATCCAGTTGTATCTGGGGCTAGCAGGAGTTACAGGAAGGTGAAAACTGACGGCTATTTTGTGACAGAGCTGTTCTAGATGTGGCTGGGGGTCCTGCTTTGTGCCTGCAGGTCATCTACCTCAGGCTTGAGAGCCTGACCATGCCGATACTTATCCTCAGCCTTGGTTTTTACCCAGTTAGATGACTTTCCCTGCTTCCATGGCTGTCTGTGTCCCACTCAAGTAGGCTTTCACCCTCTCTCCCTGGTGTCTGCACTCCTGGGATGCTCATGGGTGACTCCAGCCCCACCAGGGCTTAGCCAGCCATGCAGGTTTGGCTTTTTCCACCTCCCCTCCTAATTCACTCCAGCTCTTAATTGCATTTGCTGCTACTCTTTGAACTTGCTCCAGTTTTCCTATCTCTGGTAATGAGGTGCCTAGATAGAGATGCATTAATCCTGGTGTCCTGGCAGCTGCATGGTGTGAGGAGAAGCTCCCGGTGCAGTTCCCTAGCATTGCCACACAGGAGCTCTGGATGTGTCCCCGTGTGCCGTGCTTGCTGCCAGTGCCACGGGCAGGGAGCTACTGGGGTGACGTGTTTTTAAGCTGAGCACTGGCTTCATCCTTGGACATGGTTCTCCAGTTCATTCTCCATTTGGTGTCTGGGAGCAGTCTGGGCAGCCCTTTCTGTGTTGGATGGGGTGTGGGAGAGCAAAGACCTCCAAGCAAAGCCTTTGGGTGCTCTCCAGGCAGGTGTTTGCAGATGTGATGGGCAGCACCGTGGCCAGCCAGTGCTGTTGTATTTTTCCAGGGTGTTTTCTCTTCCCCATCCCTCTGCCGAGGGCCTGGGCACAGCCATAGGATTACACCTCTCTTGGGAGCCTCTTTAAGGCAAGCAGGCCTTGTTCGATGAAAATGCTGAAGTAAAAGCGAGGCCCCGCTAGGTGTTTGCCCCATAAATCTGATACATTTGCTGTTTATTGTTAGTCTTTAAGCCCTTCAATCCATTTTTGATGTAATAATGTTCGTAATCCAATCTAACGCTTTTTGGCAGCCGGATTCAGTGAGACCAGATATATTATCCTGAGTGT